CAAATCTGGAGTCCTGCAAAGCCGTCAAATATATTATATATAAATAATATATAATTCAGGCGTTCCAGAACATAGCACTCCGAATGTTAACCAATGCCCCTTGGTACATAACGAACAACAACCTACATAACGACTTAAAATTAAAACAGTTAACGAACTTTCTAAATTACACTACACATGATTCCACTATACACTGAACTAAAATACAAATCCCCTAATCAAACGTATGTGCACTACCGACTTCCCTGACAATCCTACACGCAGACTTAAACGTAACTGAAACCGTGACCTAATAACATCAAACCGCTAACAAAAATTATATTTAAGTAAAAGATAGGTGTTACCAATGGGTGACTTCCTTGTATGCTAATTTTAAATAAGCTATGTACATATTTGATATAAAAAAACTTAATGTACTGATTCTATTGTACAGATTGTTTTTGTTAATAAAAAAATCAATAAATTTCGTATTTTTTTCTTAAATTTTTTACTTTTTTTTCTTAAAACTTCCATAACATATTGAAAAATGAACAAAGCAACATAATTTTTTTTTATACTTAAACTTTAGATATTTACTTTTAATTTAATATTATTTTTTTGAAAATCTATCACTTAACCTGCTCACAGGGAGGGATTTAAAATAGGAACTTTTTTATAAATACTAGCTTTTTCACCATAACTTTTTCAAAAATGAACAAATTAATATAATTTTTATTTTATAGATGCATGATATCATTACCTTTTATTTGGTATATTTTTTTTGTAAATTTGACCCTTTATCAGCCCACAGGGGGGGATTTAAAATGACAACTCTTTTACAAAAAATTTACTTTTTCAACTTAACTTTTGAAAATGTTCCAGAAGGTCTGACACTTTTATATATATCTTAAATTAAAGCTAATATAATATACTTTAATTTGAAAAAATAAATTTGACCTCTGGATTTGTCTTTATGGTTTAAAATGGCTACCGAATGTTATTTTTGTGTGAAAATTCTCGTTTTTGTAATTTACTTTTTTTATTTTAAAATGCTATAACTTTTTAGAAAATGTATGGATCAATACATATTTTTCATGAGAAAAAATATTTTTTAATAATCCCTGTTTTATTCGACATGCTTTATCTTAATCAAGATATTAATAAGGAACTAGCAGATCATGTAGCTTTTGGAATAATACACCATTTTTTTAAAATTAAACACTATCTAAAGATTTGCATCGAAGCGTTTTTTTTTTTATAGTGATTTAAATCACTGTCAGATATCATCTATACTCGACCCGCTATGCCACATCCCCACTGTGCCACGACTTCACTATATTGGGTTATTTTTAATTACATTGGACAATTATAACTCACAAAATTTTATTAAAATTTACGTTCAATTTTATTTTAATGAATAATGGAAAACTCAAAAACTAATTCTAATCGTCTAACGATTACGACAAAAAAAAACATTATTGGACAAAAGCTCCCATTTAAAAGTTTTGTTTTTGCTTTTTTTTTCTATTTTCAAAGTGTAGTCAAAAAATTAATATCTATTAGTCATGATCTTTATTCAAAGCCATTAATACAGGTGTGATCGAAAACTAACTCATAACACTTAAATGTAAAATCGATTCACAAATAAAACATCTCTGTAAGAAGTGATTAACATTTGTTTCAATGTGAATGAACATGAAAAATAGTTCATAATTGATAAATTAAAAAAATGTATAATTTAAAGAATTCTAAAAAAATTCTCAATATTTTTTTTATTAATTAAGAGGTTTACATTAATTGAATTGCCCTGCATTGTCAATTGGAATTTATAAAATGGATACTCTTATAAGGCATAAAGGATTGACTTAAAAAGTATTTGGTAAATGGGGTAAATCAAGAAATATTTTTAACTAAAAAACCCAAAATAATATTCACGATTTTATATTTATTTTGTGACTAATTCAAATTGATAATGATCAACAGATTACTCTGTATACAGAATCTGTATTACAGATAATAATTTAATTTAAAGAAAATAATAAATAAAATATAGAAATGATAAATTTAAATAAAATATACAAAATGTATTACTTTTTGGAACTTCTAAAATAACCTAAAAAATTTAATTTGGGGTTCTTTATTTGCCATGTCAAATCCGGTTCTTGAAATTACATTTGAAAAAAATTACAATCTATACCTAGAACCTATGTAAATACATCTAAAAAGCGTTAATAAGTGTTGAATATTAAATATAAATTAGACAAGCATTTTCAGTGGTGGTTCGTGGGTGCTGGTTGAGGGGGTATGACTTTAAATATAATACCGCTAATATAGGTAAAAAAAATTGTCAAATTAAATATGATAATATAAAACACAATACGCATATTAATATTTTAAAGGTCGCAGTAGAAAATAGAAATGAAAATAATAATAATTATAGCGATTATACTATTATAACAACCGATAAGCGTACACGTAGTTAATTCTAAAAATAAATTACCCAATGTAGTGATATACTGATATTTTACTGTGTGGACGACGCAACCGGTCGTCCAAAACCCGTATATATAATCACAGCTAAACCGTATCGGCACGCACACAATTGGGCGTTTCGTTTATAATATACGTTTCAAAATATTGTTCGAAAGACGCTGTTGGTCGTCCAAACACTGCTCGTGTGTGCATGCGTATTCGAATATACAGGGTGGCCCACCACTCACTAACAACTTAAATAACTTTTGATCCAGTTATAATTTTTAGCTGATTTTTTTTTTAAATAATAGCTATACGTTAGGTCTATAGCAATATCTCAATAATTATTTTTTTTACATTTTATTACAAATATTAATTATTTTAAAATTTTAAATAAAAAGTAAAAAAAAAACCTGTTGATGCCCGAAGATCACGCCGGACAACGCGTCGTCGATGCCAGCGAAAGTGCCGCGATATTATGCGAAGATTATTTTATTATTATGTTCATCTATTCGGTTTGTTTTATTTTTCGTTGAAATAACCTGTTGTTGCATATTAATAAACAGCCCACAGGTCTCTATCCTCAAAACCAGTGACGACCACATTTTTATGACGTGAGCAGTGTCAACTGTTAAGTAAGGATCTTAACCGATCTTACATTGGATTAAGGTAAGAAGACCATTTTCTGACTTCATTTTAACACGCTTATGTTTTATTAACACACTTATATTAGTTTTTTTTAATTTTATTTTTCAAATAAACCAGCTAGGTACCTTCACATTCCCTCTTCTCCGATTTACTTCAATCACACAGTTCGACAGTAGTGAATTCCCCACCCAGTTATAATAAATTGTCAATAGCGCAACAATTGTAGATTTTCACTTCATTAATTATTTTTTTTTTTAATATACAACAAGTAGATTCACCAGTTGTTTCTCTATACAATCTTTATTGTGCGTAAGGCGCCGCCGCTGATACATATAAAATTGCAGCAATAGACAAGTAGTATACAATACACTCTATATAAACGCGTTTGATATATCATTTAACAACCGGGTCCCATAAAACTGTTTGTATTATTACGTTGTAACGGGTAACAGGGAATCAGGGTCCGATTCCGGTGAGGGAGTCTGAGAAGCGGCAACCACACCATGGAAAGCTGTAGGCACGCAAATTATCCACTCCCGGCACGTGGAGGTAGTGACGAAAAATGATGATGCCCATAAAAAACAGGTATACCTCGTGTATGATACATTTCCGTACTTAAGTTTCATTATTATATATATATATGTACTTAAATGTTAATATTCATTTATATATTCCTACCGCCGGTGCTGTCGTATATGCCTCACGTATAGCGTTTCCCCCGCCCTCCGCCCTCCCAAAAAAACCGCTATACCACGTGTATAATACATTTTCTTATTTAAGTCACATTACTATACAGGGTGCCCCACTACTCACTGACAACTTAAATTACTTTTGATCCAGTTAATATTTTTAGCTGATTTTTTTTTTAAATAATAGTTATAGTCTATAGCTATATCTCAATAATTAATTCTTTTACATTTTATTAAAAATATTAATTATTTTAAAATTTTAAATAAAAAGCAAAAAAAAAATCTAAGATAGCTATTTTGTAGAGTAGAATTTCAGAAAAATTTTAGTAAAAAAATATCTTATTAATATTCAGTAGTAAATATTCTGTAGCGTTTTGAAGTTTGTGAAATTTTGAATTTTCATGTACTATTTTACGGTATTGAGAAAAGGACAGAAGAAAACGATATCTTTTCAATATACTTTTGAATGAGAATGATAAGTAATAATTGCCTTATCTAATTTCTTATATTCATATCATCATATGTATACACAGTAATCATGAAAAGATAGCGTTTTTTCTGTCCTTTTCTCAATACGTATTTCAATGTTTAATACCGCTTTTCTATATATGTTTGTATATATATATATATATGTATACACTAAGTACTATTAAAATTTATATATTAACACGCTTTATTCTCATTAAGAGATATAAAGTGTATTTATTACGATTACGGGGCCTCGGATGACTCACTACCTCCACGTGCCGGGAGTGGATAATTTGCGTGCCTGCTTCCTTGCTTGGATGTGGTAGTCATTTCTCAGATTCCTTCTCTACGCAAAAGAAACTAGTAAGGCATCATGACTCAGCTCCAGTCAAGGGTTAGGCAACGGCGGTCCAGTTTTACGGTCATTGTAAACGGAAAGAATGATGCACATTAAGACTTAGTAGCTTGTGTTTGTAAAAAAAGTACCTCCACGTGGTGACGGTGGGCAACAGAAGTATTTGGGAAAGTTCCTTGGTTAACGACGTGTATGCCGTCATGGCAAGTGTTACATCGCTATTTAGGGGTTTAGCCTAAATGCCCGTCGACAGTATTCTAAGGGACCAACGAGGGATAGCTGGCTAGGCTATATCTACCTTAGGTACTGAAGTTTCCTATTTAATTTATATTCCCTTAGAGGAACTACCAAGGGTCGCACTACAATATATATATATATAACACTTTAGGTTAACAACGATATAAATAAATATTTATTAAGCAATTGAAATATTAAATGGATAATACAACCTGCTGGACACCTAGAGATGTTATAATCCAACAGGGAGCTGACGGCGACACACACACACACTATAATATACGGGGTAGCGAAGTTAAGTTAATTATCAGGCAAAAGTAGTGATCGCGAAGATGGTAAAATGTCAACTGTCGATAGGGATATCTTATTATGGCACATTGGCCGTGAATTGCAAAAAGTGTTTATGTGTGCAGTCCGCCCTCCTGTTAGTATTGCTGTATGTCACTGTGTTATATATATATATATATATATATATGTCTATTAAACGGTACAACGATGTTATGGGAGACAGAGATATGGGCACATGCAAATGTGATCGTATCAGCTGCTCCCCCTACACTTAAGGTCTGACCCTAGACCTTATAACAAAATAACTTTGGTAAAATGGTGCTATGTAGGAAAAAAAAAAATTTTTTAAAATAAAAAAAAATTTGGAGGGACATTAGTGTCGTAGTAAGAACCTCTGGGTCTTCGATGTCCACACTCCTTAATTCACAAGCTTTTGAGCGTTGGAGGAGCTTCCTTCGTGTGGGCTCTCAATAGTCGGCTACCAAGCGGTTCCTATGAAAAGCCCGGCCCTGTCGTCGACTTCTTGAATAGTCTCGGGGCCCCAAAGAGTATTCTCCGTGTTCTCGAGGACTGTTCAGAACACTAACGCTTATTATTAAAAAAATTCAATAATTAAAAAGGGATGTTGGGGTACCGAATACAATTATAAGCAATGCATGCACAATAAATGATAAATGTTCATGAATTAAAAAATAATAATAATTTATGTTATTTATGAAAAAAAAAAAAAATAAGCTAAGTTAACCTAATGTATGTAGCCAAAACGTTGTCAAAAACTTGCATACATTTACAATAGGTGTCTTAAATTAAGTTAAGCATGCTCGATAATAGTACTAATGTATACAGTAAAATATATGCGAAACATACACAGTGACCATCTCATAAAATTCAGTGTCCATTTATTATATATAAAAAAAAAGAAGAAATACACACAATAGGGTATTTTGATTTAGGCTGACTTGCGCCTTAGTTGCGGGACGATTATATTATATAAATTATCCTATAATAAGGGTAGCCGTAATAACGGCTGTTTAAAAGACCACGATTTTGCTGCTGTAACAACTTAGTTAACTTGTATATATTAAATGTGCATATCGAATTGATTTTATAAAGAAATAATTTATTTAAAAATATTAGCTGGCTCGCTCTATTAGTATCAATTGTAATTATATAAGTAATGGCTATTCAATAAGGTCATAATATGTTAACAAAAGGATTTATTGTTGTAAACACATGAAAAGAGTCCGTTATTCAAATTTGTCACGTAAGATTATAGCTAAGATTATAGGGATGTGGGAATGTGGGGATGTGCCGACCGTTGACTGTATAGTGTTGTTCATTATATGTTTGACCTATTTGGACTGAAGATGCCTGGAATGTTATATTGGAAATCATGTTTGGTAAGTACCACAATAAAATAATTTTTTAAATTTAATAATAATAACCAAGGGTTTTATTTGCCACAAATATTCTTTCAAGTCCAATTTTATAAAATTCGACACTATTTATTTTTCAAAATAGTTTATTTAGAAGTAAATTTTCTTAAACCTCGTGTATCGTGCATTTTATATCACCTTATAGTATCGAATAAAAGTAATTTCATAATATATAATAAATAAAGGGAAGTCGGGCTAAGCCGATCGAAATAATAAATGTTATGTTATAACATTGTTTGTAAATTAGAATAAAATTATGCCATTATAAAAATATGTCGATCTAGTCGAACGGAATAATAATAATAAGCCATAAGTATCAAAGAAAATAGTTAATTAAAATTAACATTATAAGTAAGCCATAATTTTCAAATAAAATAATTCAAATATGCCATAACGTAATTTATCGGACTGGCCGAAAATAATTATAAAATATATATATGCCACAAATCAAATTAATTATCGGACTTGCCGAGAATAATAATAAAATATATGCCAAAATCAAATTATCGGATTTACCGAAAATAATAGTAATATAAATATGCCACAAAATCGGTTATACCGAATAAAATAATATATAATAATGTTCTAATGAACTAAGTCTGACTTTGCCGAATTTAAGTAAAAATATGCCACAAAATAATAAATCAATCGGACTTGCCGAATATAAATAAACATATGCCACAATAAAATAAATAAATCGGACCTGCCGAATATAAATAAATATATGCCACAATATAATAAATCAATCGGACTTGCCGTATATAATTATAAAATATAATAAATAAACAGACAATGCTGTAATGTGGCTGGGGCCCCAAAATAATAATATAATAATAATAATAATAATATAACAATACTATATATTTCAATANAGTAATATAATAATAATAATAATAATATAACAATACTATATATTTCAATAGTAATAGTAATAAGGACTTATTTTTTCTAGCTAGAAGTTACTCACCCAATGGTCGACAACAAAGGGCGGATAGAACATAAAATTGCACGAATCGTGATAATTTGATGTCTCGGTGATCAAGTCGCTACATACGAAATTATACGAAGATGTTGAAGTCGTGGTTTGGATGTTCTATTAAAAGGGACTGTGGCTCAAAGTAAAATGACAAAAGTCATGGTAATGGTCGTGACATTGACCGTGGCTGTGGCGTGGCGGTGGCGTTAGTGATGACTGGCTATGAATGGCTATAAAAAAAAATGGCGAGATGGCAAAATGGCAAAATGGCAATTAGGTGAATGCGACGTATACACTATAGAGGTTAGTAATTGACCTAGTTATCGAACACCTAAATGACCTATGTATTAACATATGAAGGTGAAAGTGTGGTAAGGAGTAAAACCAGAATAAATAAAGGTCCATGCGTAAGTAACTTTTTAATTAATAGAAATATGTATATATATATATATCATAAATAAGTATAATAATAAAATTACAGAAAGTTAAGATACGTCCTAATCTCGTTGTGTAGTTGTCCTGTGGCACATAAGCGGACGGAAATGCCTCTATCTATAAGGATGGTGGTGATACACATTAATCCGAATGGCACTGGAATTTTATCCCTATTCATCCCTATGGGAGGGATTGTAACGAACCATATATTGTTTTGTGTAAGAAAACTTGCCAATTCCGAAATGGCATTTGAGTAATCTTGTAGGTATGGTTTACTATTGAAACGCGGCTTTGTTAGCATTGTTAATATAATATTTTGTCTAGTAGATTGGACGCACAAATGTTTGGATATCCTAGTGGACCTAGTTGGCTTACCGAAGTGTTTAGTAAATAATGTGGCTACTCCTCGGGACATTCTCCTGGGATTGTCGAAGTCGCTGCTGGCGCAGTGGGCGAGCGCCCCACTCGAGGAGTAAAAGAAATGTTCGATGGATACNATTCGAGGAGTAAAAGAAATGTTCGATGGATACGTTGATGAGATATAGCCTAGCCAGCTATCCCCCATTGGTCCCTTAGAATACTGTCGACGGGCATTTAGGTTAAACCCCTAAATAGCGACGTAACAATTGGTGGAGGCGCCGATCTCTCTGTTTTATTTTAAACTTTCAGTGAGGGATCCCCCCCTAAGTGTACTACAATTTTTATATACCGCTTTTCACGGTTAATTTATAAATTAAATATTTTTTATTTATTATTGGCTCACTTTATTATAATAGTAACAATTGTATAGTTAGGTATAACTATAAATTAAGTCTTTGAGTTACATAATCTTTTATATACGTTTATATGCCTCTCTATAGTTATTATTTAAAACGCACCTTTAATAATCAAACTTGTAGAATTACCGAAAGAGTTTGGAATCTATTAGGTTTTGATAGTAATATTTTGGAACTAACACCAGATCAGGTTATTAGTTCATTTGGAAAGAAAAGGGGTATTTCTGTTTCTAAGGCTTTTGATCATACCGCTTTTATAAAATTTCCAGTAGGAGCAACTTTAATTTACGAAAGCACTATATTCGAAGTTTATAAACGAGAAAGTAAACGGCTCTATTTACCGAAACAGTTTCAACAAATCTCCCTTTTAGAAAAAATTGAAATTTTAAAAAAAGATACGAAAGGTTATTATTTTTGTTATTGTACAAAAGGGGAATTACTTAATATTTTGTCATTTTTAAACGCAGAACAGCCGATTAATAGTCACACTAAAGATTTGATAAATAAATTACGTTCTGTTTTCAAACAACCACCCCTCTCAGAAAAATACGAATCTGATTCGGACTCCGAAGCAGAAAAACTTGATAAAATTCCAAGTACTCTGCCGGTTCCACTAAGCACAAAAAGCGCTTCTTCGAGTGAATCGAACACCCCTACCGATCTCGACAAAACCGTTGTCAAATTTCCTTTAGCTAAACCATCAGAAATTTCACGCGAGGTCACCGTAGAACCTAAACCTATTTCTGCGCAATCAAAACTTTTAGAAAATAAACCAGTTAAATTAATAACTACTATGGCTAGCTCAATTTTACCACAACAGTTCTCGGGTAAATTATCGGAGGATATTATTAGATTTTTTTCAAATTTCGAACGAGTTGCGAAAGCTAACGGTTGGGATGATAATATGAAACTCGTTATGTTACCACTTTCCCTTAAAGGCCAGGCACAGACAGTGTTTGAAAATAAAGAGGCAGAAGTGGATGTTCCTACTTGGCAGGCAATGAAAAATGTACTAATTAGATATTATAATTCAGAAGCCCAGAGAAGAATGAGACTTAAGAAATTAAGAGAGAGAAAAAAAGAGGACCATGAAAGCATTTTAGATTACTTTTCTAATGTTAAAGCCGAATGCAGGAGAGCAAATGAGGATATGTCAGAAAGTGAAATAATAGACACAATTTTAAACGGTTTGCCCGACCAATATTTCGAAAGAGTAGGTTGGGTTGACGTTAGTTCATTATCGGTATTAGAGGAAAACATTATAAAAATAGCGAGCTTAGGCATAGACAAGAAAATAGACGATAATAAAAAA